ATGGTGCCATCAATGATTTAGAAAATTGGCCGACCAAGTCATAAAGTTCACCCCATATAACAGGCGAAACGTCTGTTCCTTCCACAGCTCATGCGCATATTCTTTTCGGAAAAAGGATCGTACGATTTGACCATCATCGAGTCGTAAAATTGGTTGTTTTTCACAAATTTTCCAACATGCCCAATCACCGAAAAAGGGAGGAACCACGAAAATCGGCCATTGCCATTGACCCACTAACAGAGAGAAAATCGTCCGATTATTCTTAGGTCCAAATTTCAGATGAAAAATCAGTCGAATTTCGACCCATGTATGGCCGGCATTACTATGCGATATTAGTGCAGCAATCTTCCCGCTGAGCTATTGCGTTCTAACAGGTTGACTGTCCCTCGCCAGAACACACCGGTCAGCACTTATTGCCAATGCAAACGCTGATTAGGTGCCAATCGGCTGCTGTTTTCCCAGCCCGTTCCACAAAAGCTGGACAAAATCTGTCTTCTGTCGGTCAGGCTGCTGTACACACGGGCTGAATGTTGGCCAGTTTCTGTTGAACCACCTGATACCGGATGATATTTGGCTCATGTGTACTAAGCATAAGGCTTCATTCACACAGGCACATGTCTGTGTATTGTCTGCATGGAATGAATGCAGGTTCTTGCTGGCAGAGGTAGCAGAAGATCCTGCATAAAATACGCTCCTACAGTACTCGTGCTAAGATGTGTACAGTGTTTAGATGCATACAGGCATCAACAGCGAGGCTCTTTCTGTCCATACACCATACATCAGCATCAGAGGTTGGTAATCAGCTCTGAGGAAAGGGATTCGTCCCCAAAACGCGTCAGCAATTTGACCGCACTGACAGTGAAAACACCTTGCCCGCCGTTGTGGCCATTGTCATTTTTCTATGCTTTTTAGATACATGTTTCGTCTGTGAGTATGTTTTTATTATTTCATTCCTACAATAAACCTTGGATAATGCACTAGGTGTGTGCGCCACCTGTTTTCTCCCTATCCAGTGGCTGATTTCCCCGTCTGAGGAGGGCTGCACCCCTGGAACATTTCCTTTTGGTTGTCGCTGTCCTGGAACCCTTGGCTTCCCTTTTGGCTGTGCATATCCTGAGGCACTGGAGAGTACATACAATATCCGGTTCTAATGGTTTATGCATGTATGTGTGCGTGCATTTACATGCATTTATGTGATTACATGCATTCATGTGCATTTATACATGCATAAAATCTATGCAGCCCTGGACGCAGCTGCGTCCTAATTTTTAGGTGCACCGCTAAATGCGGTGCACATTTTCACATGTAGACCCGACTCTGTATATGGTCTCATTGATTACTCTAGTGCTGCATTTAGATGCACACAAAGCTATACCCTCTGCGCATCTAAAGCAGCTTTTTTTTTCTGCCTACATCAATGAGCGTGAAGGCTTCATTCACATAGGCATTTACATATTTTCTGCATGGAATGCAAGTTATTGCTGGCAGAGCTAGCAGAAGATCCTAAAATATGCTAAAATAAAAGATGCTCCTAAAGTACTCATGCTAAGTTGCATTTAGATGCATTTAGATGCGTACAATGCTTAGATGCTCCAAGGAGCAGGGCCCTCCTAACCCTCTTGTATTGAATTGTACTGTTGCTGTATTGTCTCCTGTTATATTGTAAAGCGCTGAGCAAACTGTTGGCGCTATATAAATCCTGTATAATAATAATAATAGATGTTTACAGTTCTTTTGACAGCTTATGCATTTTTTGAGCATTTAATAATGTGCATGCATGCTTAAAATCTGCAGATCTGTGTGGTCCTGGACACAACTGTGTGTATGGGCTCATTCATTACTATAGCATCTACACGCAGTGTTTTTTCTGCGTGTGTTAACAAGCCATTAACTTTATATAAAGTGCAGGGCTGCTGTTAGAAACCATGGGGCTCCATAAAGCCAACCTGACAGGGCCCCCCCAAAGAAAAGTTTACTATGATTAATTTATGAATGAACAGAGTGAGTGATTGGTACCAATCACTCATTGTGTTCATTCAGGAAAGAAAGGGGCTCGGAAATGGGACATGTATACAAGACCCTTCCCCCACTCTCCATCCTGAAGGATCCTATTGTGTGCTTGCAGCTGCCGGTGGAAAGGAGAGGAGGGAAGCCGGAAGCACTGCAGGGGTGGGGGCACACAGGGGGGCCAGGGCAGCAGGGGAAAACATATGGTGCACAGGGAGGGTGAATTGTGTGGCAGGGAGGCAATTACTGGAACCAATCCCTTGTATGTCTCTCTCTGCAACAGCTGAAAGCCAGCAGGAAGGAGAGGAGGAGAAACCAGCTTTCAGCTGCTGCAGAGTGCCATACAGGGGATTGGTTCCAGTAATTACTCCTTCACTGTGCCATTCACCCTCCCTGCCCACATCCGATTAACCCAGGTGCCTGGGCCCCCATGCTGGTCTGGGCCCCTTACAGGAGGACTGGTGGTACCCCCTTATCAGCGGCCCTGATAAAGTGTCACATACTGACACCTCATTCACGTCACAGCACAGCATAGCAGTGTGGTGAGTTGCATTTGTGCCGTCCAGTTTACTGCTCAAAAATGTTGACATGCTGCACCACACACACCAGGGCACATAGAAAACATGGTAAAAATAAGGATCAACTGCCTGTGTTTACTGCCACTGGCTGCCTGTGTGAAAGGAGCGTATAGAAGTTCAGAAACTTCACTCTAAATACGATTTAATTATGTGAAAAGTATCCGCACGTGATTGGGTATTTAAAATTAATAGGAAATTGCTTTTCACACGATTGTATAAATTAAGTGTATGCTTACACAAATTTATATATATGAAGATTCTCAACCTTTTTTTTAGTAAATTACCTCAATAATTCACTATTATGAACGAGCTTAGTAATCAAAGCATATGAAGGAAGAACAGCTCAAGTTCTTCAAAGTGACCTTTCATTTTCTGTATAAAAATATAAGCAAGAATTTGATTTGCTAAATATCTTCTATTAAACTTAATTAGACTTATGCTGGGTACACACGGGACGAATATCGGCTGAAATCAGCCAGTACAGTAAAAACGGTTTTTTCGGACTGTGTACAGGTCCCTGAAAAAAAAAATTATAGTGTGTACTAGGCTTTAGTCAGTGGTCTCCAAACTGCGACCCACTGGCTGGATGTGGCCCTTTGCTTGTCTTTATCTGGCCCTTGAAGGACTACTCCCACTGATGAGGCACCATTCCTTCCACTGACAACAACAGTGGAGGAGCTGCAAAAAAAGGAAGTTGGAGATTTGAAGAGGCTGAGAGCATTAGAAGGTAATTTTTTGAGTTAAGAACACATACTTGAATAAATATGTAATGCTACCCTGTTGAGAGACGTTGGTTTCAGGTCCCCCTTTACTTTGTATTTATTAGGGATTTCAACTTGGATAGGGAAAAGGGGTTATGGCCAACTTGATTGAAGAATAAAATGAATGAGGACAGTTTCCTTCTCTGGCACACTGCAAAAATGACAGATATTTGACTGTGTTCCAGCAGGAACCACGACAGTCTTTAGGAATCTCCTAGGAAATTGGTGTCCCCTGAGTGGGTTTTTTAGCAAAGTGAAAACTTATAGGAGCTCTGGGTCTCCTTTGTGAACAAAATACCAACCTACCTGACTAAGGTATCTGATCCCAGGACAAGGGATTGGGTAAGCATTAGACTGTCCCCTAAAGACTTGCCAAGAACTAGTATCTAGCAGACTTCTCACTTACAGGCCCCTGGGGGTGAAGAGGTACTCATACTGTCCTTGTCCTGCAGCTGTGGATAGATCTGCTTTCAGGCCTATCACTGGCCTGGTTCTTTTGCATGCTATGCAGGCTGTCCTTCCCCAGTGGACTGCAGGGCAGTGGAGCTCCCTCTTTCAGCATTCCTCCTTCCTCCAATCTCCAACCTGGAAGCAGAATCCCCCTTCTCTGGGGCCCTTTCCTAGGCTACACAGCAGCACTTCAACGATCCATCTTTCAGCCGACTCCCCTTGCTGGCCAGGCTCTATCATCTTTATGGGCTAGCATGCCACACTGCCAGGCCTCCTGCCTGGAACTGGTCAGACCCCCATAAATATGCAGATCAACTCCTCCTCACCTCCACTTACTGATTTTATTATTATTATTATTATACAGGATTTATATAGCCAATAGTTTGTTCAGCTCTTTACAATATAAAGGGAGACAATACAGCAACAATGCAGTTCAATACAAGAGGGATAGGAAGGCCCTGCTCCTCAGAGCATACAATCTAGGACTTATAGAAGCTTCTCCAAGCTTCTAGAGCAGGAGGAGGAACCAGAGGACTGACCTGTAAAGCCCTCCAGCCTGACCTGAAGTAAACCCTCTGTCTCACACCCAGGCTTCTAGCAAGCCTCTAGCTACATTAAATAACTATCTACACTAGAAGGTGCTACAAATATACATTGTATTGCCAAAAGTATTGGGACGCCTGCCTTTACACACACATGAAGTATAATAGCATCCCAGTCTTAGTCCATAGGGTTGAATATTGAGTTGGTCGACCCTTTGCAGCTATACCAGCTTCAACTCTTCTGGGAAGGCTGTCCACAAGGTTTAGGAGTGTGTCTATGGGAATGTTTGACCATTCTTCCAGAAGTGCATTTGTGAGCTCAGGCACTGATTTCAGAGGAGAAGGCCTGGCTCACAGTCTCTGCTCTAATTAATCCCAAAGGTGTTCTGTCGGGTTGAGGTCAGGACTCTGGCAGGCCAGTCAAGTTCCTCCACCCCAAACCAACAATCCATGTCTTTATGGACCTTGATTTGTGCACTGGTGCGCTGTCATGTTGGAACAGGATGGGGTCATCCCAAAGTGTTCCCACAAAGTTGGGAGCATGAAATTGTCCAAAATGTCTTGTTATGCTGATGCCTTAAGAGTTCCCTTCACTGGAACTAAGGGGCCAAGACCAACCCCTGAAAAACAACCCCACACCATAATCCCCCCTCCACCAAACTTTACAGTTGGCGCAATGCAGTCAGGCAAGTACCATTCTCCTGGCAACCGCCAAACGCAGACACATCCACCAGATTCCCAGGCAGAGAAGCATGATTCATCACTCCAGAGAATACGTCTCCACTGCTCTAGAGTCCAGTGGTGGTGTGCTTTACACCACTGCATCCGACGCTTTGCATTGCACTTGGGGATGTAAGGCTTGGATGCAGCTGTTCAGCCATGGAAACCCATTCCACAAAGCTCTCTACACACTGTTGTTGGGCTAATCTGAAAGCCACACTAAGTTTGGAGGTCTCTGCAGACAGTTGTCGACGTTTGCGCACTGTTCCCTCAGCATGCGCTGACCTTGCCCTGTCATTTTACGCGGCTTACCACTTCATGGCTGAGTTGCTGTTGTTCCTAGCTGCTTCCACTTTGTTATAATACTACTATCAGTTGACCGTGGAATATTTAGTAGCAAGGAAATTTCATGGATGGACTTATTGCACAGGTGGCAACTTATCACGGTACCAGACTTGAATTCACTGACCTCCTGAGAGCGACCCATTCTTTCTCAATGTAGAAGCGGTCTGCATGCCGAGGTGCTTGATTTTATACACCAGTAGCCATGGAGGTAATTGGAACACCACAATCCAATGATTTGGAGGGGTGTTCCAATACTTTTGGCAAAATAGTGTATAGATACAGTATATATATATATATATATACAGTCATGGCCAAAAATATTTTCAACCCTGTGTTTCTGTCAGATAATGCACCACTTCACCCAGAAAATTGTTGCAATTACAAATGTTTAGGCATCCTCAAGTTTATTTCTTTTGTTTGTATTGGTATGAAAAAAAATTGGAGATACAAAAAGCCAAATCTGACACATTCCATGTAAAACGCCAAAAATGGACTGGACAAAATTATTGGCACCCTCAATTTAATATTTGGTAGCACACCCCCCCTTGGAAAAAATAACTGAAATCAATAGCTTTCTGTAACCATCAATGAGTTTCTTTCACCTCTCTACTGGAATATTGGACCACTCTTCTTTCGCCAACTGCTCCAGGTCTCTCAGCTTGGAAGGGTTGCTTTGCCCAACTGGTGTTTGAGAACTCTATGGGATTGAGATTTCTGAAACCATTTCTGGGTGCTTTTTGATGTGTGCTTTGGGTCATTGTCCTACTCTGACAGAGACCCAACGTTCTGACACTAGGCCCTACATTACACCCCATAATTCTTTGGTAGTCTTCAGATTTCATAATGCCATGCACACGGTCAAGACATCCAGTGCCTAAAGCAGCAAAGCAACCCCAAAACATTGGTGAACCTCCACCATGTTTGACTGTAAGGACTGTATTCTTTTCTTTATAGGCCTCATTTCTTTTTCTGAAAACAGTAGAATGATGGGCTTTATCAAGAAGCTGTAATATTGTTTCATCTGTCCCAAAAGGATTTTGGCTTCCTCAGGTAAGTTTTGGCAAACTCCAATCTGGCTTTTTTATGTTTTTCTGTCAGAAGTGGGGTCCTCCTGGGTTTCCTACAATAGAGTCCCTTTTCATTCAGACTGCAAAGTATAGCGCAAGCTGACACAGTTGTACCCTGTGCCTGAAAGTCAGCTTGAATTTGTCTGGAAGTTGATTGAGGTTCTTTATCCACCATTTGAACAATCCTTCTTTGATCAAGTTTTTCTCTTTTGTCCATGTCCAGGGAGATTAGCTACAGTGCCATGGGCTGTAAACTTCTGTATCATGTTGTGCACCTTAAACACAGGAACATTAAGATCTGTTAAATGATACAGGTTTGTTTAATTACAAATTACAGGGGCATCACAAAACTGAAATGCAATTATTTCTTACAATTTTGAGAAGGTGGCAATAATTTTGTCCAGTCCATTTTGTGGAGTTTTGTGTGGAATGTGTCAGATTTGGCTTTTTATTTCTTCACTTTTTTTTGTGTCATACCGATACAAACAAAAGAAATAGACACGAGAATACCTAAACATTTGTAATTGCAACAATTTTCTGGGCAAGGTGGTGAATTACCTGACAGAAATGCAGGGGTGCCAATATTTTTGTCCATAAATATATATATATATATTTTTTTTTTATTATATTTTTTTTTTTTACCAGAGTGTTTTTGTCACTTTAAATCTAAGGACCGGAAGCATTGAAAAATCTGCTTTGATGTAATAATACTGCAAACACATTTGATAAGCAATTATCAATATAGGCCATTCAGAAGTTAGAATTAAGTATGGAAGCTGCATGTTAATGCACATCATTGTAGTTGCGGATTGCCATTCATTTTTTGTTATAAAAGGTAAGGAAATATAAGCTTAATTTAGGTAAATATTCTAACATGGACTCTAGCACTACCAATGAATTTTTTGTTGTATTCCAGTGGGTGAACTTTAGACACCAGGAAGTGATGTAAAAACTGATTGTACTCAGAAACATATAAAAGGCCCAGAAAAGAATATTGAATGTATTTCAAATCTATAAACTGACCTTTAATATACAGCTTGAATTCTGAGCAGACAGGACGCACTGTAGAAGTGTATAGCTCACCTTACATATCCTGCAGTTTCCCAGTAGGTCTGTTTTATGGTCAGTGCCTACTCTTTTTTTTTCTCTTGGAAGGATGTAGTCTGCTTCCTCACCACATGAGCAAATCAAAGCATTCCATAAACCAAGAGGGACGAGACAGTCTCAGGAATGCATAAGTAAATACTATGTGAAGCAGTAGGTTTTGCTGAGCACATTTTTTGCTGGGTTAGATTAGGTTCTTGTATTGTAGGTGGTAGTGGTATACAGTGCACAGATGTACATTCCTCTTCTCCAGGAAGAACAGGAACACTTTGAAGGGGAAATCTACTCTTAGGCAAGCAATCACACTCCTTTCATTTAACAAACATTAAAGTAGGACCTTTACCTGGTCCCGGAAATCTTAGTTTACTAAACAATTATTAGTCCTTATAAACAGATCATGTGACAGCTTCCTGTGAGCCAAGATTTCACGCCACTACTCTATATACTACATGTGCTGAGTAGAGCTACTTAGATTTCCAGTGATCTTAAAGAGACCCTGTCTCCAATTATGGAAAAACTAAGAACATAGTAAAATCAAGTATTTAAAATGACTGACCATTTTTTCTCTTCTATAAACATTTATACACTTGCAATGTGCCTTTGAACTTGATGGAGAAAATGACCATTCCAGAAAGAGTCAGTTCCCTAGCCCAACCACAGTTCCCTCTCCCTTCTGCAACATCATAGCCCTCTCCTCTTCCGGCAGTGTCTAATTACTGTCTATACTGTCCCAGCTCCTTCATCCTTCCCTTTGTCTTCTTACATAAACTTTTATGTAGGTGCAGGTGGGGAAACAAATGGGAATACTATAAACCATACTTTCTAGTATTGACGAGCCCTTGAAATAAAATTTAGGTCTCAGGGCACCCTGGCTAAAATGTTTATAGCTACATCTCATGGTAGCCAATTAGCCAATTGGTGGTCAATGAAAGAAGGGTTTCCTTACAATAGTGGTCAGTGGAAAGAATGCCCTATTACACTGGTGGCCAGTGAGAAAGATGGAATGAGAGGAGAATCTCTACAGGTCCCATTTCAGTAGTTCTGCTGGGTGGTGTTGGGCACCATCAGTCAGGATATCAAACCATCACTGCTCAAGGAACCCCTAACAACCTCTGGGGATACCTAGAGTTCTCCAGAACCCTAGTTGAGAAAGGCTGCTATAGACTTCTTCTGGAGTCTTCTGAAGTTGCTGCCATCTAAGATGCAGTCTTAGACTTTTTTGATGTCTTCACAAGGAAGGCTTTTTATTGGTAAATAACTGCATAAAATATATTACATATACTCGTTTGGGACATTTTTTTAAATGACTGGTCTGGCAAGGTCTCTTTAATGGGGCCATACATTAAGAAATTTTATATACAATCATTTTTGTTGACTGAACAATACCATTTGAAGATCCAAAAGATTGTTAGATGCACCATACACTTAGCAATCATATCAGTCTTTTCCCATTCCAACTAATCAGAATACTGTAATTTTAAAGAAATTGATCAGCTTTGCTCAAAATTGATCTATGTCAAAGTACTGCATGTATCATTTTGATAAGTCATAGATTTGATCATATTGTCCAATCCAGTGAAAAATGGTTTGATCAAATTGATATGTGTATAACTACCATAAGGCCATACACATGCAATTATTCAGAGAAAAGTGGTTAACAATAAATATGCAGACCCTAAATCTCATTCCCACACATTCCTACCCCCCTGCTCTTCAACTTCAGGTACATGCGATTGTAGCACATGTAAGATTATAGCCTCCTTCCCATTTCTCCATAAAAAAAGGGAATTATCATTTTTTGTTCACACAGAGATTTTCTACTAATTTGAAAAATACTACCACACCACAGTGAGCCCTTATTTAGGTTTTGACCTCTCATATAACAATTTCAGGAGCCACCTATGCTCAAGATCCTGGTTTTAAATAAGCACATCACTTGCAAAGATGGGAAGTGTGTAGACACCCTAAAGCAGGGGTCTCCAAACTTTCTAAACAAAGGGCCACTTTACCATCCTTCAGACTTTAGAATGGCAAGTCTGTGCCCAGTGGGAGTGAACAATGTTTCATCTTTTGTTCCCCATTGTTTGTGTCAGTTGGAGGAATAGTGCCTCCTCACTGGTGTCAGTAGAAGGGAAAGTGCCTGATTGTGGTGTCAGCGAAAGGAATTACATTTCATTGTTGGTGCCAATAGGAATGATAGTGCCCTATGGTTGATATCAGTGGCAAGAATTCCATCGCTGATAGCAGTGGGAGGAAAAATGCCTCAAGGGCCAGATATAGGCAAGCAAAGGGCCACATCCGGCCCTCGGGTCGCAGTTTGGAGATCACTGCCCTAAAGGCAGAAGATTCCAGCCCTGGGACTTTCAGCACAGGACAGGTTTGTATATTAAGCAAAGGATTCTATTGCAGGAGAGGTGAGTATACAAACAAGGGTTCACATTTCCCTAGAATGCGTTCGGGGTCATGCACCCACACCTGCATGGATGTCACATTGGGATTATCGGCTATGTCCTTGCAGTTGTTGTGTCCCAGTTGACAGCAATGGGACTTCCTGGACAAGGATTCACAGAACACCCGTATACATAGCTTTCCACGACCATATGGTTAGGTATGTCCTGTGTGAACAAGGACTAAAGCAGGCCATAGATGTGGGGAAAATCGTCCATTTTTTTTTTTAAGTCGTAAATCGGTCGTTCAGACGGCCGACGTTGCCACTAATTTAAAAAAAAAGTTGGCGGGTCCTGTCTACGGCCGTTAATTAATATAATAGCGGTATCCATGCATAGAGACCCGCTATTATATTTGACAGAAGAAATAGATTATGCAGAAGAAGAAGAGAAACAACATTGTATCTATTTGTACTTGAATAGAAACATCTGTATCCGAAATGCATACAAATAGATACAATGTTGCAACTTTTTTTTCTTCTCCGTCTTCTTCTGCAAAATCTATTTCATCTTCCCCTCTTTTCTTCTATTCTTCTTCTTGATATTCTATTTCTTCTTCTGCAAAATCTATTTCTTCTATTTCTTCTTTTTCTTCATAGTCAATTTATTGTCAAATCGGCCGATCTAACAAATCATTCC